AGAAATGTTTCAAACACTTTAACCCACAGAGCATCAGGGAAGTATTCACATTTCTTAACGTTTTCCGCATTTTGTCCTGACAGCCTTATTTGAAAATGGTCTCTTTGTTTTTAAAACACCTTAAGTAGATTTTTTTTTTTGTTTTTTTTTGCAAAATTGCAATTTTAGATATATATCAGTTTTGATAGATATTGTGTTGAAGCACTTTCAGGTAGTAAAAACATCCTCAACTCCTCTTAAGTATGTCTCATTACATTGGGGTTTTGGTGTGCCAATGTAAGGGGATATTCAGGTAACTTTTAACTCAATACTCTAAGCTCTGTGAGCGCTCCATTGGAAGCTGTTGCTGCCGCAGTGCATGCTGGGATAGCTGTCAAACTCAAGAACGGACAAGTCTGCTCTGATATATACTTGGTAAATAGGGAGGGATGATAACAACATCCGGGGACTTTGCCCGTTCTCCTTCTTGTGTTCTTGTGAACTGGAACATCACTAGTGCTGAGGCTGATGACATTTTCACAAGTAAACGAGCACATTAGAACGCACAACTACAAATATTGAGAAACGGCTTATATCCCTCACCTCCCTTAGAACATATCCAAACTTCTCCCAGAGTTTGTGGTTAAAGAAATGTCACAGTATGTTTGGAACCGCTGGGTCTGACCAGCATCCTCCCCCTCCATCATAGCTAACCCACCGCCAGGTAGCTGTCAGTGAGCTTTCTAGCCCTCTCTTTGCCTCAATGTTCCAGTTATGTGGCCACAGTTTAGAAAAAATACTACAACAATGATAATAAACCAGGGTGTCCTGATGCGAAGAGCAGATTTTGATGCCCTTATGCTTGAATATGGTGTTTGTTATGGACAGTCCATGATTAGCACAGAAGTCCAACAGTTGCGCGGTGGTTTTTGCTTTCAGCTTTTAAAAAATATCACTGAAAAAAGAAAATTCAGAACCAGTAAAGCAATTATTGCATCGCTGATGTCACCAGTTTTGTGGGAACGTAAATCATTTAATTTACATCATTATTTATAGCTGAAATGTTTTAAGCTAACTGCTTCAGTGAAGATAATTATAGTACATATAAAGAGAGTAAAAATTGTTTACAAACAAAAGAACCTCAGATAAAATTAATACACAAGAGCATCTCACTTTTTTAACATAACTGTTTTTGTTTCTATTCTTCAGTCTAGATATTGGGTTTTACCATAAGTAAGAATTTATGAAGATTTAATGTGCACACATATTAATGTTTTTCAACCATTTAAACTATACTCAAAACTCAGAAGAATGTGTTAACATCCTGAAATAAATTTGAAAGAATCTTTGGTAAATGTGAGCAAGTGGATCTTTTGACAGATGGAAAAAAAAAAACATTTTTATTCAGTCTGTGTGATAAAAACAGCAAATATTCATTGAGTCAAACACAATTTTACAACAATTGTTCTTTAAAATCTGTAATATTGTTAGTATTACACATTGGTGCATTTAAAATAGACTCATGTTTTATATAGAATGGCATCCGAATTTCTCAACACACGTTTATGGCAGCAGTCTATAACAATCTTTAACCCTTTATTAACTGAGAGCTCAGAAGCATCATACCAACCATCCCAAGGAGAAGGTAAACTCACCCTCCCATCATACTGCAAGCTGTGGGTCGGGAATTTTGAAACGTCGTTATTATAAACAGGGTTATTTTTGCAACTATATAAATTCAGGACCTGGTGTAGTTGGTGAGTCACAATTACCAGTATTGTTATGAAATTCAAGCGGCAGTGCGATATTTGAGTCTTTCAAGATGGCATCACATGTTAAAAGCACAGAGAGGATGTAAAATACAGTTTAACTTTATGTTCATCATTTTATGATGTGTGGAAAAACAAACATTTACAGGTTGTTGTTTTTATGTACTTTAAATGTGACCTAATCAACACTTAAAGCCTTCTTCTCACAGATCCAGGCGTTCTTCTCCTTACAGCTAACTGATCTCCATTGTTCGCCTTGGAGAGCAGTCACACACTGACCATCAGTTGCTTTCTCTTCTATCCAGTCCCTGAAGAAAAACATCAGTTAGATATTAATTTACTTATTTTACCATTAAAATGATAAAAAGTATGCATCTCTCACTGATTGCTTAGTTCAGTTCCATCAATCCATTTCCATTTTCCTTGATCAGCTTTCAGGCCAATCCAGTATCCTTTAATCCCCTCTTCTTTAGGACTGATCCCATTGATATAACCCTAATATCAACATGACAACAATAAATAGAGACATTTAAAAATTTTACAAACATAATCAGCAGTTTGTATATTAATTTATAGATGCAGTTCATACAGGTTTTTTACCTTTTCCTCTTCATTTGTTGCAGCAGTCAGATCTGAACCCTTTTCTCTACAGTCTTCTCGTGCTCCATCCCAGTTTCTCTGATTTTCACCCTTTGCGTTATTATATGCATAGCAGCTGGTTGTGAAGGTACTCCAGCCATATTGACAAGGCTTACATTTTCTCCCTTAAACAACAAAGATCAACAAAA